ATATATCACATATATATTATGGTAATAACCATTAACAGCATATGGCAATTGCATATAACTAGCTCTATCACACATTTTTGTTTTACAGTACAGATCGGTTATTATTATATTAATATGTATGCTAAAAAGCTAAAATAATGGAAAATGGCAGCCATTTTAAATTTTAATAGCTCAAAAATGTGTACAATATTTAGTTATCTGTTGTTGTCATTGTTATGAGTGAATTTCCAATTGAATGCTGCATTTTAATAACATAAACTTACAATATTAGTGACAATTTTAGAAAAAAATGGCGGCCATTTTGAAACTGCTGGCAACCCCCCTTACGTATGAAAAAAAAAATGTTGCACATACTTTTTTGATTTATCAATATCTACTCTACATCATATCCAATTTTAAAAAAATATAGCAAAAAAAATGCAACCTCTGATATTGCTACATTTCGGACTGGACTATACCTGTCTCTTATACACATCTAGATGTGTATAAGAGACAGGCATTATTTAGACCCATAAAGCACAAAAATCCTCTTGCTTTGGGGGTTTCGGCGACCCCACTGGGGCTTCGACAGTGGACCTCACACCCAGAAAACCCCCATTGGAAAAACCTGGCTACGGGCCTGTGGGTATTGGTGTTCAACCTTCCTCTCGTAAGAGTGCCATGGGAAATGATAGCATAAATAACGCCCTTTTTATAAAATCATACACAACTACTAATGTGCGTGTTTTTGTAGGTTCAATCACTGTCGTTTTGTGGTACCTTGGCAACAATATCCAAAGGGCGGTCTCAAAGTTGAATTATCGGAAGTGCGCTCAAAATATAAGCGCTCTTGCGTGCAACATACACTGGGCGATCACTTCCGACGCACACCTTCCATGGAAACGTACCGTACACACGCTTGGCATAACAGTACTTTGTTGGCAAAAATTTTGATTCAGATATTTAATATCTGATTTTGCTTTTATCATAGCCATTAAGATATATTGTGGTCATAAATTTGTCTGAATTAAGTAACAGCAAAATCTGCATTGCCTTCTCACCAGAGGTCATACTGCACAAGGCGAAAGCCAGTGGCATATCTACGGAAGATGTGCACATATAAATATATTTTTTAAAATAGTATAATCAAACATTCTGTGATCTCCCTCCTCTCACTGGCTGTCATACATCTCATATGAAAGATCTAATAATTGAATAATCGCATCAAATTCATAAAAATGAAAACAAAGAGACGAGTTAAGTAGTAAATATTCAATTTTATTAGCTACTGCTTTTTGAAATGCCAATGTGCAAACCATTAGTCATTGCCAATGCATATATTACAATAGCAAACAATGAAAATCTAAATTCAATTGAGAAAAAAAAAGTTATATTATTCCATCCCATAATGATATTTTATTCTTTGGAATTTGCCAAGATTGGAAAGGATAAGATATTTAATAATGATGAAGAAATAAAAGTAGGTAAAATAAGATGATGTTTTCCAGTGTCCAGACTTGAATTCTTCCCTCTACATTGTGTTCTGATGGCTGGCAAAAAAAAAAAAACGTGAAACTTGGAAGCAAATTCAGCTTTGGTTTATGATGAAAGGTAACCACTGTGAAAAAAAAAAAAAAAAATACAATTTTATTATTTAAAAGAAAAATAAATATTAATAAAAAAATTATATTTTAATTGTCCTCTTATACATGATTCACAAGATACAAATGTTTTCCACCTTTGTTTAAGACTTATGTAAAGCGCCTAAAGGAATTTGTGATGCATTAGGCGTTATATAAAAATACGGTTTTATTATTATTTTTTACATGGAACATTATGTAAATCATTGTTGTCTTGTCTTCACACAAGTAAAACGGTATAATCGATTAAAAAAAAAAAAAAAATCCTACAAATAACTTACGGCAATTTCATTCTCATAAACACCCTCATCATAAAGAACGGAATTAAGATGCAAGCGAATCCAACAAAAACCAGCAGGAATCGGTTTAGTTTTGGAGTGTTTGGGGTGTTGGACTTGTCGAGAATAACAAAGCCCAAACCACCAATTGTAAAAAGGAAACTAGAAGCAAGACCTTCCATAATATATTGACCATTAACTCTGTATGGCATAAATGCAACCTGAAAAAAACAGATGAAATAATTTTGTTTTAAAGATTCTGAAGAAACAATAAGGTACGGTGCACCATGTTCAAAGACTTGGAGTGAAATTATAGAAAATCTATGTATATTGAGCATAACATTAATGAGTAGAGCCTCAGAGGGGTAAATGATGATTTCTTGTATTTCTTTGCAATTGACCATAAATAATTGCCTTGATTAATTGCTATTAGCAAAGGGAAATAATTGGAGTCCCAAAAAAAGGACTACTTATGAATATGGTGGCAACTGACCAAATATGGTCGCTGGAAATGGAGACCTGATAGTCTGGTCCTGGCAACCACTGAGGGAAAAGTATGTGTCAAAAGGCGTAGAGGAAGACTATGATTAGGATGGATTGATAACATTTGAAGATGAAGAGACAGGACCGTAAATGCAAGGAAGGTTGGCCATCATTTTAAATGCCTATTGGCTCCACGAGGGCTTTAGGGCAAAAAAAAACTGAACTGAACGTAGGATAGCTCTGAAACGAACCACTGTGTTGTTGAAAATATCACATCTGAATAAATGTGTATGGTTTGGAATAATGTAGAAACATTATTAGGACCAACATACTGTATGCAACTATTGTCAGCTCTCTGGCATACTTACTGGCTTTTGATGTCCATTTTCATCTGTGGTTGATCCCACACTTGGAGGTTCAACAATTACATCATAGATAAGGCCTGAAAATAATAATAAAAAGAAAATATATAGTCAAAATTACTGTAGAATAATCATGGATTGTAAAATTAAAGCAATATTCTGGAGGAAAAACACCTTATGATATGTTATACAACTTATTCAAACACTAAATGGGTGTTTGATAAAAACTTGGCAACAATTAATACGATTTTAAATTAGGATTTAATTATAAAGCTCTGGAGAAAAAGCTAGGGAGGAACAAGTTCCTCGATAGAAAATTATATGTACTGCCGGTACCTAATTATAATACTTCCAATATCAATAATGACAATACTGTATTACAATCGATAATACAAAATTTACTACTATATTAACCCAAGACTAAGAGGGCCATAGGTATGTCACTGTTGGTATAAAGTCTGTAGAAGAACTGTAAAAGAAGCTTGCCTTCTTTCGGGTTCCATTCTTCCAATGCAACAAGCCAACCAGCAACCAAGGGGCCATGCTACCACTGGGCAGGGACCAGAGTTTAACTCATCAATCAAACATAATATGATAATTATTATTTATTAATTTTTAAGCTACTACTAACTGACAAACACTGTTTCAAGGCAAACATACACCAAATCGTGTACGTGCTACAGTAAAAGTGCAGAGTCGAACGCTATTACCACATGTTGGTATAAACATATTCCATGCACTTTCGCTAGGCGTAGGCTAGCTATTCTCTATATCGCAAACCCCGATGGATACGACGCCATCTGATGCCCCGCAAAAGTCATCATCATGAAACACACTCAGCCTAGCTTAGCTAACTTGTACCTGTAAAAACAAGGTTTATACTAACCTCCGGTAACGAGAAAGTAAGAACCTAATACAATTGCATAAACTGTCATTGCACCAGGTGATTTTAACCATGATGGCTTTTTCAAACGAAGGTACGGACATTCTAAAACAGCAAATGGAAGCGAAAAGAGGGTCTCCATTTTCCCTTTTTTGAGCCACGTAGAGAAAAGGTTTTGCTGTGTGCGTGTATACGAAGTATGGAAGGCGCTTTGTGTCAAATAGATTTACTTCTTCGCATCTAGCATAGGGCAATCAGCCTTGTAATATTATTACAATACCAGTTTGCGTTTTTCCCCCTTTTTTTCAGTTTAGTTTTTGCTTGCTTGTAATCTTGGTACAGCACTTTATTGAAAGGATCCTTTAAATAAGTAAATTTTACAATTTATTTTGTGTGTGCTTCTATATTATTTTTACTTAGCTTGTCAAGGAGTTTAGCAATATTACAAATTAGGGTCTTCTGATTTTGGCTGTTTATTTTTTTAATACTATTTTTTGTATACAATATGACATTTCGGCAAATTTTATTAATTTCTTAATTTTGCAATTACAATATATTAGTTTCTTAATCTGTTACTAGAGGATATTTATAAGTACTTTTACAGAAATTCAATATTGTTTAAAAAGTTTACTTATGACATATTTTGTTGTATTTCTTACTGGATGAAAATGGTAGTTAAGCTATATGGGTCACACCAGGGAGTTGTTATAGTGGTCACACAGATTTACAAACCTTCTCCTCCCCCAGTTGTACAATTGTTTTTGTATGTTCAAAGTTTGGCAATAAAAGAAGAATAACAACACATTCTGTTATGTATAGCAACGTTAAGATAGTTTTCCAAAAATTATCATGTACATGGGGGTGATGTTTATGAATAATAAAAAGAACTTGCTGCTTATTAGCAGTGGGGCCACCAAGATTTGCCAACATGTTTTTAACTTGTTCCAAGATTTTTTCCAAGGAAGGAAGAAACGTCCAACTAAATATCCACTTTTTAAATGCTATTGTCTATTTTTAGACGTTGCCTAATAAAATAGATTGAATGCAGTGAATACAGTAATTAAAAACACATTAAATTAAACGACATCAATACAAGAATAACTGTGGAAGCTAACTTTTATTTACTACTATCAACAACCAACATTATGTGATGTAATGTGGCGGTTGTTCGAATTCAACAGGTTAATTGTAATTGATTAAACTAATTAACCCTGTTTAAATGTAGCATAATTACTTTAGCACACAAATGAATTAACAAAGATGTTGTGTGATGATGACTATCATCATTATTTTATGATTTGGCCATTATCCAGTATTTAGTTCAGTATTTCAGATATGGAGACGGGCACAGTGGTGTAACAAGGGCTAGGACCTTGGCAAAATTCTTTGGGCCCTGCTGACATGCCAGGGTAGTAGGGTCCCACTGGTTGGGGAAAGAGCCCATTGGTCGGGGAGAACTTCCCGTCCGCTCTGTCTATTTTGACATTTAAAAGCTGTATAATATTGGTTTTTTAACACATTCTACTCCTTAGAAGACCACACTGTTGGTCCGTTACAAAAAAGGGCCTCCTACAACTCTGGGCCTCTGGCTTTTAGCCAGTGAGTGCTCATAATAGTTGTTACACCACTGTAGGTTTTACCCACAATATGCACATTATTATAATTATTCAAGGAATGAAAGCTAACAAACCATTCTATGATTTCTATAGAACTTGACACATGGTATCAACTGTTATGGTTAAGTCACATGGCACCACCCAGGCCCCTACCTGGCTAGCCAAATTTCTTGAGCTTGCAAGCAATAAATAAAAAAACACCTGGGCGCATTTTTTTTTTATCCCACATGCCCTGGGACATGGTGCAAACCATAACAACTAACATAGCAACCATAACATTTGAAATAGCAACCAGTGTTAAATAGCAACTGTTCTGGGAAGCATCCATGCAATTGAAAATCTAATGTCATTTTCAAAACAAAGAAACCAAGTGGCACTTTGTATTATTGTTTTTATTGTCAGCAATGCTAAATTTCTTACTAAAATGAAATTTAAAAATGCAGCTCCACATCGTTTTTCAAATCCTGAATTTTAAACCATCATACATGATTTAAATCACAATATGCTGGAATTCTATATACAGTATAAATACAACATACACAATAAAATGAATTTTGTTGCACAACAGACCAAAAATGTAATATTTCCATACTTGTTTATTATAGAAACACAATTTTTAAAGGAACTTTTGATATCGTATTTAGTGCAGACATGACTATTAGAACGTAAGTATGGATATTAAATTTGGAAATATAAGATAAACCAGAAAACTGGGTATATTTAAACACTTCAAAATATATGTTTGGAATTAATAAGTCACTATTGATATTCACAGATATTGAAAAAAATCAGGTTTCAATCCGACCCCAACTGAGGCTCTAGTCGGCCCCTTGTCAGCTAATTTCTGAAGCCAACACAACTCATTTTCTGTGTATGGTTATATATTCCATAGAGTAAATATGAAACATTTCATTAACAATCAATAAACTATATACATGTAAATAAAGCAATGAAAATTTGGTTATTATACATAACAACTTAAAATTAAATAGGAAATAACTGAACCTTCAATTTAGATACAATATGCCCTCCCACACAAGAATAAAGTTGTCATAATTGGGATATAACTTAAAATTTTTGACAGTGTATTCATTATTTATTTCAACAATAATAAACTTACATAAATTCATTAAAGAGACCAGAAAAAATAGACAGTTAATGTCAACAAAATACAATTAAAACCAGCAAAATATTTTATTATTGATTGTTTAAAACACAATTGCACACCAAAAAAGAGACGCATTAAAGAAAACATTATAATAATAATAATGAACATTTATGTGCCGGTTTCGCTGAAAACACTCACAATAAATTTGATTAAATGAATGAAACTATGAAAACAGCTGGGGCAGATACAGATGGTGTGATTGCACCCCCCTAAATTGCATTAAGAAAAATAATTGTCATACACAATACTTGGGCGTGCATCATTCTGAAGCCAACACAACTCATTTTCTGTGTATGGTTATATATTCCATAGAGTAAATATGAAACATTTCATTAACAATCAATAAACTATATACATGTAAATAAAGCAATGAAAATTTGGTTATTATACATAACAACTTAAAATTAAATAGGAAATAACTGAACCTTCAATTTAGATACAATATGCCCTCCCACACAAGAATAAAGTTGTCATAATTGGGATATAACTTAAAATTTTTGACAGTGTATTCATTATTTATTTCAACAATAATAAACTTACATAAATTCATTAAAGAGACCAGAAAAAATAGACAGTTAATGTCAACAAAATACAATTAAAACCAGCAAAATATTTTATTATTGATTGTTTAAAACACAATTGCACACCAAAAAAGAGACGCATTAAAGAAAACATTATAATAATAATAATGAACATTTATGTGCCGGTTTCGCTGAAAACACTCACAATAAATTTGATTAAATGAATGAAACTATGAAAACAGCTGGGGCAGATACAGATGGTGTGATTGCACCCCCCTAAATTGCATTAAGAAAAATAATTGTCATACACAATACTTGGGCGTGCATCACCCTCTCTATGTGGATACCATTATAAGGTAAGACGGATTCGATCATGACCCCAATTCCCCCTCCCCCATCAAGAAAAAAACATTTTATTGGAAGGTTTCAGAAAATTAAATGAAGACAAAACACAAAAGAGACCATATTAAAATTAAAACACTCGCTCCCAGCGCCCACCCACACCAGACTGATATTTCTTGGAAGCACTGCCAATACTTTCAAGTTTCTTTTGCCCAAAAGTGAGTTTAAAGTCCTAAGTTCAACAATATATTTTAAGTTTGGTTTAAATGTTTTCTTGAACAGGAATATCAGAGTACAAAAAAGCACTAGGATGATCAAGAAAACGGTGGATAAGTGCTTAACACTATATTTTTTAGCACTTTCATTTACAAATGATGCCTTTCTATTAGTCATAATACAATCTTCAGTTTTAACTACGGATTTTGCAATACCCTCCCCTGCTAGAAACAACTGGTCCACAGTAATTCTGACTTTGTGGGGTTTTTCATTACTGGTAATGTGATTGTTCTGAAAAATGATGTCTTTGGTTTTACTACAAAGTGATAACTAATTGTCCATTATATAAATTGTGCTATAAAGTCCTGAGTACACTAAATGGAATAGAGTTGACAAGTATGCAACTATCGAGGTCCCAGATTGTCACATGATGATGAAAACAAAAATATTGTTCAAGTGTAAACATACAGGCATGTGTACCCTTTTAGAAGGTAGAACGTACTTTTTTTGATCCATTACCATAAATTCAAACCATAATTGAAAATGGATTTCAATAAAATATTTCATTGTACATATTGTGCTTTTAAAGCATGCACGCCTAACATATGGTACATGACCACCTGTGTCTCAATACAATATAATGAATTCATTCATATCACTGTACAGAAAGATATTATGACATTTTTCGCTGTAGTCTCTTCACTATGCTATGGAACATGTTCCACAAACCCCACTTTCTCTAGACCAACAATTCCCAAATCGTGGATCACCACCCAAATTTGGGCTGCTAATATTTTCTCTAGCAGATCACAAGATACAGGAAAGGAAAAAATCATTAATATTCAACTCCGAGAGTGCTATTTTGCACCATCTAGACGTGCCATGCCTATAAAAACCACAGCCCCACCATTGTGGGGTTGGGTTGATCAACTTTCTGCATCTCCATCTCCTGCCTTCCATCATTCCAATTAATAAATCTGCCACAAATAAATATGAATAAGTAATGAAAAATGAGTATGAAGCCACCACCAGAAGGATCCCACTGGAAACAAGTCATTGGACTCAGTGGACTGTTATCCTTGGTGTGATTCACACCAAAAAGACTCCTATGCTATACTATCCTATGATAAATATATTGGACAAGCATTTCTTTTGATATCTGGGACTTGGCTATTGTTTTATCATTATTTATTATCAAGAAAGCTTGTGAATAGGAGGTTGGTTGTTGGCATAAATGGATTGTCAAGGTGGGTCCCCTGGAAAATGAAAAGCAGTGCTCTAGGTTCCTAGGGGTTTAATATTCACAGTTTTGTTTGGCATTGTTTACCCATCACGTTTTCATACTTAAATTAGATTAGGCCAAAACGTCAAAAAGCATCTCTCTTAGTAATCCATTCAGTGGTCAGTGGCGTAACAGGTGTGAGACTTACGGGAGAAGGGGAAAGTCCCCAGAAAAAGTTATGGGCCTCCTCTCCTTAAAATTTGCTACACAAAACAATTATGATCTAAGTAGTTAAAAATGACCTTATTTCATTTTGATCCTTCATACAGCATCCTCTCACTTTTCCATTGTGGCACCCCCCTACCCTTGATCAGCCTCCCCTGTTCATACAGTGCATCCTCCAATTCGAGACCCCTCAAATTCCGAGACCCCTCTAATTTGAGACCACTTTTGCAAAGACCCAAATAACAATCTTCAACCTTTTAACACAAAGCTAGCCCTCTAATTAGAGACCAACCCCGAGAACACCACAAATTTCCTGGTCCCAAAGGTGGTCTCGCATTAGAGGGCGAATTGAACCGCCAGATACCCCACTGTGAGCGTTCCCTTGTGTAAATGCGTTATCATCCTGCCTCTCATTACATTTCAATGTATAGCAGCATTTAAATGTTTTTTATGTTCAAAATATTTAATTATGTTACTAAGGGTAGTTATTTAAAAACAATCTTTATAAGATTCAATTTTGTTCTGATACAATTGTCTGGTTTTGATATTCATTTATCATTGCAATATACATTCATATATTTTTTTTTTGGTAAACATAATTTAAATAAAATCATTTCAGAATAATTATTAATTATGGATAAAACTAAAGATGAAATGATTATGTTAAAACTAACAACAGGCATCGCAACTTTTGATTGAAAAAAATATATATGTGAAATACTTTGTCTAAATTATATTTATGAACCATGATAAATATAAGTAGCTGCTTCATATTTTAAAAATTCTTGAATACTTATTCTTGTATTCCGAAAAAATAAAAATAAGTAAAAACAGTAATTGTTTCATACATTACTTGAACAAAAAAATAAAGACATTTAAAAGTGTACTCCCTAGCTACTGAATTCACAGCAACAACATATCCATAACGTTATTGGTCAGCAAATCAGGCAATCCTTTCTTAAAAGATTCCATTTTTACAATATTTGCACTTTTAATGTCCATTGGAATATAGACTGATCCATGCGCTTCCTTCACTCTAACGTTTCATGGTTGTGGTACATTAGGAAACGCTTTAGTGGAAGAGGTACGTATAACCGATCAATATCATTTGTGTTTCGGATAATGCGTCGAATGATGTGGCGACAGAGGTTGGATAGTTTTTGCACCGTTACAGGGTATGAAATAAAATGAACCGTTCCATTTTTTGATCTGTGAACAGAAATTAAAATGATGTATTGATCAAGGAATGAAGGATTATACTGTCAACAATAAGAGATAGTCAAAATTTTAATCAAGGTGCATGCATAATTAGTGAAGGAAATAATAAAAACCGATTAAAAATACATTAAGGCTGTTTTGCACTAGGCAAATTTATTCACGCAAATCCTAGGGTTTTTCGCTTCAGCGAAATCAGTAGTTCAGTTTGAACTGTTTCTACTTTTTGCGAAGCGAAAAAATTAGCAACCAATCAGAGTTCAGGAATAGAACCAACGCTTTCTATTCACGCGAATAAATTCGCCTAGTGGAAAGCTGCTTTTAGTTTTGCAGTGCAGGCATAAACATTAAAAATAGATATAACATACGAAAAAAAAAAAACATTTAAAAAAATTACATTGCTTCATATTCACATTGCTTTATATTCAAGTAGTATAGAAAGAAAATAAATTCTATGTCAATTAATCAACACATGAGACATAGTACTTAAAGTACAACTATCAGAGCTTTTTCCTCAAATGCTCCAACGGTTGTAGTTTAATAGATCCTCTTTAGCTCTACTGCCCTCATGAGACTGATTGATTATAGTCTTTTGATTAATAGATTATTTTTACTCTACTGCCTCTATTATACTGCCCTCATGAGGAGCTCTAGAAACACATGACTGATTGGTTTATAGATCTTTTTTAGTTCTACAGCCTCTATTATACTGCCCTCAATGGAGCTTTAGAGATTACGAGAAATTGTTATTGTAAAACGTATGTAATGCGACTACAACACATTAAACATTTTTTCAATTTAAAAATTAAAGTTTATTGTTTCATGTACTTACATCAGCTCAACACAGACATTAGTGGGTATATTATTTTGAAATAACAAATAAAGATGATTGGGCTAACAGTGGCAAAAATGCTACCTACCCAACAGCAGCGACTCGACCATCAGGAGAAAAACAGCAGCTCAAGCTGTCTTGTAACACTGTAGTAAGCTGAGGTTTACTGTTGTCTAGTACATTCCAGAAACGACAACGCCTATCATAATATAAAATAGAGGGATAAGAAGTTACCTAAGAGAACAGGGTAAATGGGGCAACAGGCACCCAGTAGGATCCACATGAATAGCTCTGGTACTGAAGAATTCTAGCAGGTAAATGGTGTATTTCTGTCATCATTTTTATTGTATTTTATGCATAGGGAAAGGAGTGGCTTGGATAATATTAGGAAGCTACATTCGAAAAGGGGTTTTGAACCATAGAATATAAAGTTTACAAGCCTCAAATAGATATAATTGTGTTGTAAATTAAGTTAGATAAGTCAATAAAAATTGCTATGTAAACAATTGCTGATCTGTAGGAACCACTGAGGCGTATCAACTGCTTGGGAAGTGTTGTTTAGTAACAAAAGGGTGTCACATGGTATTGTGATGTCAATGACATAGTACACTACAGAATGATAATAGTAATAATGATGATGGTATTATGGCCTGTTTATACTCCAACGATAACAATAACGATAAAAAAGCTAAAAATCAATTGTTCATACAGAAAATAAAAGAAATAAGAAGTTTTTACACTAGAACGATTCGATAACAATTTAAGAGTTATGCGATAACAACATATTTTGACAAATCAAAGCAGATGATGTCATAATCATGGAAAAACATTAAAATCGTAGCAGTAGCAACGATTTTATCGTTTTTTTCCATGATTATGAAGTCATCTGATTTGATTTGTTAAAATATTTTGTTATCGTATACACAATTTTTTCAATGTGTATTTGACAATGTGTAATGTAGAAATTACCTGGAGTAACAACATCAAAGTTTTTTAAAATGTTGTAGAACCGATTTTTCTAAGGCAGAAAAATGATGTTTGATGAAAAACTGGGGAATGGATAAAGATTTTTGAAAACGGTATTTAAAAACTTGGGGAAAAGGTGTAAAAAATGGTGGATATGCCCCCTTTCCCCCAGTTCATAAATATTCAAAAATCTGTATCTCATCAAGAAAATACCATAAACTTACAAAAACTCTCTTATTTTGATTCCAAGATGAGGGTCCCAAAGAATCGCCCTGGTATCACGCGAAGCAGTGATCAGTAGAGCACTGTCAGGGGAGAATTCACATGCAATCACATCATTGAAATGACCAACTAATTTCCTTATCACTTTGTATGTCTTCATGTCCCACAAGAGAACCTGCAAATGTAAAGTATAATAATTTTTAGCCCAGCACGGTAGCTACAGGGTACAGGACCACAGTAGCTACAGGATACAGGACTGAAGTGATTCTTAATGGTTTGAATGTCATTTTTCTTTTTCAGAGGACACATTTGGAAGAAGGGGAAAGGTGGTTGGGGTGAGGTGATGAAGGCACACATTTTTCCTAAGTGTTTTATCAAGTATTTCTCTGATGTTTTTTATTTGGACCGGACACTCAACCTATTTTTTAATTTTAACGGTCAAATTCTTAATGCAACCTTTCTCAATCATGTGATCAGCTGTATATAATAGACCCACCCCTCCAAAGTGAGTTTTAAAGCCTACAACACAGTGGCATATCTAGGAGAGGGGACACACGCACATTTAAAAAAGCTTGCACAGCCAAGTCGCCCCTCCCCCTTTGAAAATGTTTGAAGCAAAACAAAACATGCTTAAATAGATAAAAATTACCTAATATCACATTATTGTGCGAGTTAGCACCCCCTTATTTAACCATCAATCCTACCATACATCAAAACTCCTACATACCACTGCTATGACATGGAAACAAATTAAACACTGTAGAGATTCTTTGGCATTAGCTTTGTGCTAATGTATAAAAAACCAACATATTATTGAAAATATTGATATTCATTGAACTATTTATTGTTTAAACGTGTCTTTTCAAACCTATTTTCTCAGCACACAACAATAAAACATTTGGTGAAGCTAACAAGGAAGCTGCATAAAAATGCCAAACTTTTAATAATGCAATTTAATTACCAACCATCAAACTTACAGTAGGTGCCGCAAGTATAGACAGCCAAACTTACCGAGCTGCCGTCACTGACAGATGCCAGCAGAGACGCATCGTGTGAGAAGCCACAGCTGCGAACAGATCGAGTGTGGCCTTTTAATGTCACGATCATGTTCCCATCATCTTTCATGTCCCACACCTTCAATGTCCGATCCTTGCATGCTGATAGCAGGATCAAGCTCCCGTCGGGTGCGAATCGAAGGTCGTTTATGGTTTGATGGTGATCGGCCAGCACCATTCTTTGCTCTGAAATGATAGATACATATCTTCAGTGATGCTGAAGACGTTTGTTTTTAATGCCGCAAGTCATGGGTCCAAACTCTGTACTGTATAATACTAACTGGCAAGATGAATAAAATTAAATCATAACACACTGCAACTATCAGAAAATACATTTGGGAAAATTGGATAACAGTACTTTAGCTTTTGGTAGCCGCCTTTGGCTCATTCAAATGAGAGGTTGTGGGTTTTGGCGTTAACACACTGCCAGAGACCATTCTTTTTTTAAATTCCACAGGTCAAGGGTTCAAACTTTCTATTGTATTAAATACTAAAGAGAGCCATATGTACTGGCAAGTTGAATAAAATTTAATCATACTGTAACACACTACAACTACAGTATGAGAAAATTTGGGAATTGGATACAGTACTTTAGCTTATGGAAGCCGTGTGATGCAACATTAAGGCTTTGGCTACTTCAATTGAGATGTGGGTTTGAGACCAACACCGGCACACTGCTTGTGTTCTTGGGCAAGACGTTACCTACCTTGACTCTCTTCATCAGGAAAGGCACATTGAGCAGTTCTTTGTGAAAAAGATATGTGCACTATACTGTATAAATCCTAGAAAATTTTTTGGAAAAGAACACGCCCCTGGATTACTGTAAACCTCAATGAGAAAACTGATTTGGAAATCTTAAAGAATGATTAATTAATAATACTGTACCTCTTGTGACATCATATGTGAGGATTTTTCCACTCCGTAAACCCATCGCCAGGATAAGTTCATTCTCACTCTCGTAGTTGTACTTATGGTAGACTTTAACATTCCTCCACTTCTTCCGCGGTACCGACGACCCGAAAGCAATAGCGTGCACAAAGTCTGGACACTCAATTTGTTTCCAGGGCTTTTCCTCTCCAGCCTGGTCTGTGATGACAAAGGCAGGTTTTCTATTCCAACCTCTGAAAAATATGGAGATCATAAACTAAAAGATCTAAAGAAATTTTAGAAAAGAATGAAAAAATATTGATCAACAATAATTGTCAATAATAATCAATGAATATACTGTAAAAGTGAGTGGAAAACTTTTTTTTCACACCATTTAAACATGAGGTTTGCCATCCACAAAACCAGTGTACTGTGTTAATTGTTAAATTGAGTAATTAGGTGAGATTTTTGTAATACCTTGTTTAGTGAACTTATATTTTTTTAAAGACATCACCAGAGGAAGAATGAAAAAAAAAAAAAAAAAATTTTGTTTTCTTATTTAGCAAAATTATTTTGCCAAAAGTTATCTACGCGAAGAAGAAGATAAAAATAAAATTTTACTGATGAATGTAAACAGTGTAGTAATGAGTAAGTATAGTTTAAAAAAAAAATTATTCAACCTGATACTAAAATATACTACTTCTTTAAAATATAATTCAAGAAATCAACTCACACTTGTTTTTTCTGTTTGTTCCACTGGACGAGTCTAACCAAACGATTTCCACACGACCAAGCAAAATATTTACAATCATGAGAGAACGCTACATGCCATGTTTCGTAGTGGTTTGTGGTCAAAGGTCGAAGGACCTGAGTTGTTTGAACATTGTTTTTCAATTCACAAATCACTGGGGCTTGGGCTGAAAATGACAAAAGATTTTTTTTCTTTATTTTAGTTTAAGCCAGCAAATATTAATACAGTCGACTTTTAGCTTATTTTACATGCCAAATTGTAGCTTTTTCCATAAATTAACGATCTGTAAGTCAAATTTTATCTAAGTTAAACAACTTTTCAATGCCATTTTGGATTTGATTTAAACCAGTTCAACTGTTCAACAATTTCTTTTACCTACTTATGTAAACCAATAACAATAGCTGCTTGTGGCCTTGTCTTTCGATTTGCTAGCTATAATGTTTTCTTAATGTTAGTCCCTGGTTGAACTAAAGAGAAACTCATAAAGCGAAATGATACTCAATGATCTGATAAGTGTCATGTTTGAAAATCCTAATGGCTTACTTTGGTACCTCTGAAGTATGCATATCTGAAATATTTACAGTATACTGAGACAACAGAGGTGGAAGAGTCATAAAGCTATTAAACATCTAGAGTGCTGACTAGGTGACGAAGCAATGCAGAGTATGTGTACCATCTAAAATAGCCGCAGTAGGAAAGCGTCACCTTCAGGTGTACGTACTATTAAAACCATAAATAAGACTGCTGACTAAGTTACTTAATCATTATTATTAATAATATTAATAAATTATTAAACTAAACGAAAAAGAGGCTAAGTGGAGCATACAGTATCTGATTAAAAAATAAAGTTCTGAGGTGCAATGAAAAATGGAATCGTGTACACTATACCCCAATGCTCATATTCAAAACTTTAAGTTACATTGAGGGCGACATTGAAGCGATGCTTAGTGTATTATGATTGGCAGCCATCTTGTATGGTACACACACAGCTCTGCATATCTTGAATATTGAATACATTGCAGTTAGTGCTCTAGTATTCTTATAATATACAGATAAGGTATCTCACGGCCATAAAGAAAAACAGCCTTGTATTTCTTAATTTGTGCTTCATCCTTGTATTTCTTGATTTGTGCTTCATGAATAAAGTTGTACTACTACCTCTATGGGAAGAATATACTTATTTGACAAAATTAACTCCTCTGTTCTTTTAAATTCCATCTGGTAAACTGCCTTTTACATTGTATATTTGTCTTGTTATTACTTGCCTGAATAAATAATAATATTAATATAATTTCATCCTTAAGTTATATAAACATCTGCCAATCACGGAAACTGTCTGACCTATTGGAATATGATAACTTATGCGATTCATGAGCAATTCAACAAAGTAACCTTTCACTTGGGACTCATTTTGTTTTGCTTGAAATCTAGAAGCAGTGCCAGTCTTGCTTGTACATGAACGATAATTAAATATTCATAATTACGGTAACTATTTTTGATTGCATCTGCAACGCAAGTGTATTGTAAATAGAGTATGACAAGAGACAAGATAAACAACTCTTTAAGTATCAACATTCTTTGACTTTGAACTACAGTTCACCATAATTCTTTCAATGACATTCTATCCTTTGTATAATGCCTTTGCTTCTGCAAACCTGTAAATATATTTGTTTATTTTTAAACCTTTTATTTTGAATTTAGCATCAAAGGTTGATGGTTTTGTTTTACTCTAAATATAGGAGCAGTGCCAGTCTATTCATAATTACGGTAACAATTTTTGATTGCATCCGCAACGCAAGTGTAGTGTAAATAGAGTATGATAAGAGACAAGACAAACAACTCTTTAAGTATCACATGATTATATTTACCATGTGTTATCATTTTTGGAGATTGTTTAAAATCAATTTTAAAATTTGTTTCTTTAGTCCATGAATTATAGGCAATTCTATTTTGGGTCACAACCAATAGAGTACTTTGAGAATCAGAACTATGACAGTACAGAAGGTACCTGCACAAACCTTATTTAATAATATATAACATAAAGGCCTATCTGTTAACTGGTAAATACTGATAATGTAGGCCTATGAGTATGAGATGAGTATGAGATAAGTCTACAAGTGTAACCTTGAAATATATGACCTTCAGATTGACCTAAAATCCATATTGTACCACTTCCCTTTGTGAAATGATTTGAATAGAAGTACAACACAAATGTACAATACAGTATAATCATGGATCTATTTAATAGTACTGTAGGTCCATGCATAGTGGAAAGCTCTATACATGGACCTGCTGGTATGCTGGTAGTAGTAATGCATACCTATCCATGCTTTACTCTATGGTTCATGGGACAATGATTTAGTTAAGATTTTTGTTTTGTATTTTTGGATGAATCACTTGGAAATGAGTGTCACTGATTCTAAGTGATTACAAAATATTGAAATATTTCTAATTGGAGAGTGGTACCTATAGTTTGCCAACAACACTACACAATAATAAATTACTCTTATCAGAATCTATATTATATCAATATTAAGTACTGATACTGTTTTTCTTTATAAATTTATTATAACCTAACAAAACTGAATAAGGTAGGCTTTTTCATTTGAAACCACAAGTTTTCTCAGCAGCAGGACTTTTTTTTTTTTATAATACAGTTAATATTATTAATTAAATTTTATTATTTACAAAAGAGATCAAAATGCAGTACCGGTACATTAAAACCTATTTTTTGTTTTACAAAGATGTACAAGAAAAAAACCAATCCAAAAAAATTGCACATACAAATTAATACTATAATATTATCATTCAAATTTCCACAAAATGTTGACCAATTGACAATTTGCAACAATAAAACTCAACGTATTAAGCTGCTTTCATATCGGATCAATATCAAAATTGAGTGGTTCCGTGGGTCCTCCGATTCGAATATTCTGATTTGATGCGATCAAGACTTACGAAAGATTAAAATTGTGTATCATTATCAACCAAGTACAGATAAAATACAATATAAAACTGCTCTCCAGCAAGAATGCGTCTCTAAAGTTTTTAAAGATTGCACACTGGGAGCCAGGCAGATCTCAAAAGGGAGATTATTCCATATAGTCTGGGACCAATGACAGAAAAAATATTATATGAAATGCGAAGTATCTTCATTTTATATTATAACCTATTATTAGTCATATTTAGTTAACTGCAACATGTCAATATCATGTATTGTGCTTATAAAAAGAATTTTTTTTTGGATAACTGTCTGACCAGTGACCTTGGACTTTAGTGAGATTATGGCAATAAGCAAAAGGTATTGAAGCCTTTACAACTTTACACTTACATCCTATTTTTAAAAAACACTACTAAATGGCCTTGTGATTCAAGCCAGGCACTCGCAGCACCATGCAATCGTCGGCTGACGCATCCAACTCCACTCTCTCTGAGCATCAGACGATGCAACGTCTGTTGACTGTCATTAAAAAAGGATCCATTGCACGTGCGCGTCATGGTATTGTGTTATTCATACATGTAGAATCGCTTAAGAAATCAGATGGAGTGAATGCCCTGCTTAAAGCCCTGATATCTTCATTATTTTGCTCTCTCAGTCTCATTGTATGATTTAGCATTAGATTTTTGCCAAGTTCTGATCTTCCATAAACTAATCACTGTTAATTTCTGTTTGCAAAACAGATTTTCAGTACACAGCATGCAAGCCAAGATTCGTTACCATTGAGTAAGTTAAACCTGATCTTTGGCATGGATCCATTGCTAGCTGATGCAATAAGGTCAATGAATTTTAGTGATTAACTACCCTGACATTCTTTTTTTCACCTATGAATCTTCATGTAGCAACAGTCACAGTTGTCGGGACATCTTGATATAAGTTGGCCTCCCGGTAGGCCTATTATGATTTTTAGTGGGTTTTATCAAAGAGTATAAATAGAACAAGAGAGCAAAGTCCCGTTCGTAAAAACGTCATGCCTGTGTAGGACGCCAACTAACAGTTGTATATTCTTTTTATTTGGCTCTCTTGTTCTATTTATACTCTTTGGTTTTATCACCAAAATATATATATATATTTTAAATTATTATTTATTGTATAATTGAAACTTCTATTTAAAATTCACTATTATATAAATTGAACCTTTTATTTAAAATATGAATTACGGTGCTTACTGTACCCTTAGGAATATAATCAGGGCTCGATTTAGTACTAGCCCGACGTACAATGTCTAGTAAAAACCGCTCCGGGCTAGCCTATTTACTCATCAAGTTGCCCGGTTGTCTAGTGGAGAATTAGCAAGAAAAACATTTAAAAAAAAAACAAAAAAAAAAACGAAACTTTCGAGACAATCCCTGCACAAGAGGTACCGCAGCCCAGAGAGAACACTCTAGCTAGCGTTCAGCTCTCCACATGCGCGAATGTTGAATTATTAAGATGATCCCCAAGTCATTCACCAACCACTACAGTCTCTCTCTCAACAGAAGATCGTTTGATCGTTGAATCGGGTTGATTTAGGTACATTTAATTTAATGTACTACCTTGTATTCATATTATTTTCTCATAATGATATTTATAAAATGTTCAACTTTTAATAATTAAGTAATTCAATGCTATAGGAAGCTAGGCTAGCCTAGGCCTAGGCCCTGGGTCTTGTTTAGGCCTAGACCAAGGTAGCCTAGTCTAGCCTATAAGCAAGATTTATTGCCATTGGGGGTGAGTGACTTGAGACCTGAAGATTTAACAGATGCATTGGTTTGATTGATTTCTGGGCCCTTTGTTAAATATTACAATGCCGACATTATAACCAGGGAGATGCAAAGCATGCTCATCTGTCCCTGTTAGTGTTATAACCATAGTTGATTTTACAGCATGGGAGATTTTTTATTCAACTCTAAATTGAGGGGGTAGCTCAAACAGCAATGCTACAGAAATTATGAAATTGCAAATCAACCTTCAAATTTAATTGTCGCTAATAAATAATTTGAAACAAAATTTTTTCCTATCTGTGGGCTAGTAAAATTGTGGGCTAGTAAAATCTCTAGTAAACTAGCCCAGTGGGCTAGTTACCAAAAAAAGTTAGGGCAAGCCCTGATTATGCATAGTCCTATTTTTTTTAAAATCATTCTTTTACAGTATTCAAGCAACAACAAAAAAAGAAAGCACATCAAATCCAGGTCATGAGCTGAATATAGACCAATGCAGGAAGACGACAAACAAATTGGATTACGAAATATAACACAATAAAGAATGAAATATTGAAGTACTATGACTTCAAGATTTTTTTTTTTTTTGCAGTGTGCATGTTATATTAAGCATGTTGTTAGGAGGTGTTCTATGTACAGTATTAATGATCAAACGCTACTCTATCACAGCCAATCACTAATGACCAAAACTGGATGTTTCATTTTAACATTTCAGAAGGATAAATGGTAGCTGGAATTGTTTCAACTTTTTATAGCACCACAATAGTTTTCAGTTGAGTGAGAGATTTCAATCAATGATTTGTAGACCTGTGAGAATTGCTTAGGAAGGTATCAGATAAAGAAATTGTTTTACTGTAAATGCCTGAAGTAACAACCAAAATCTTTTACAATCAATGGTGGATCCAGGAATTTAAAAAAGAGGAGGCCCAGGGAGAAACTATCATCGATGGAGGGTCTAGATCACCCCAGCCAGCCATTGTTGGGGCTAAGGTAAGAAAATTTTATGATTATGGCACCTCTAAAATAACCGGAAAGGGCACACTCAGATTTTCACCGTTCTTTTTTTTTTTATAATTTTGAAAAATTATCACTTGAATCTGCCACTAAAAAATGTTTTTTTTTTTTTTTTTTTTTTTTTTTCTTGGTTTTCAATTTAATTTTTTCTTTTTTTTTTTTCTGGACGATACATTAAATTTTATACATTCATTAGTTATGACTGCATCTTGTAAAGTGACATGAGCGCAATCAGCACATATCCCATTACATTATCCAACAGTACATGGTAGTAAAGCAAACAACACATTCACAGGCAGTGCGTCCATGGAGCTACGTATGATGATCGATGGGAAAAATTACCGGTACAGTATATCAACAGCATTTTTTTCTTTAACTTTTTAGTTTTAGATCTTGCAATTGAAAAACATGTTAATTGTTTATGCAAAATGCACAAGATTTGAAATATCTGCTGTTAGGCGAGACCTTTTTATACCTTGTTTTGTGAACTTATTTTTTTTAAAGATCGTCACAGGAGGGCCGAAAAAAAATAAAAATAAAATTTTGTTTTCTTATTTAACAAATGATTTTGCCAAAAACATCTAGACCGAGGAGAAAATAAAAATTAAATGTTGCTGAATGTAAACAGTGTAGTAATGAGGTGGTTTAAATGCTTTAAATTTATATAATTAGGAAGAAATACCTATCCTATTTTTGGCAGCAGGCATATCAAACTAAACAAAAACATCTTATTTTTTTCTGAAATTTCCATTTTTTCGTGGCGGCAAATGCGCTAATTGGCTAAAAATAATTTTTATATTTATCTGAAATCACCAATATTGCCGGGCGGTGGGTTCGATAAACAAGGTATAAAAAAAGTCTTGACTTTATGTACTGTCTGTATCATTTTGATTTATATATGTTCGACAAAATACTATGAAAATCATTTACATTCAAAAGCTATTTTATTTTAGCTCCATGTTAATACCGGTACTAATACTATACTATTCTCATTTGTTTAAAACTATATTATTATTATTAAGAAGCCTTGGTAGGTCTAGGCCCTACTAGGCCTACCTAGCGAGGGTATCCCCTAGGGAGGCTATGCTAATTCGGGTCTGAAAATGGGCCCGATTCGCTAGCCTAGGTAGGGCCTAGAAAGGCCCATTCATTATACAGTAATTAGCAATTCGCCAGCCAAGACCAGTCACTGTCATGACATCATGGAGGAGGAAGATACTGTTAAATCATTAATACTGTTCTTAAAATGATGTAATTAATTACTGAAAAGTGAGGCATCCGAGCATAGCCTAGGCCTATATTTATGTACTGTACGCATTCTAGTCGGTATTCCACCGAGCAGTGAGATACCGTCCAGCACTGCATAGCATAGGCGGCATTACACGTTGTTGTTGTTTGTTCCAATGTGGCGGACGGGTTTCGAAATATTTTTACTCGTGATTTGCAGACACACAATAAAATTGATACTTACGAATTTCGTCTTCACCAGACGACTGGATATTCATTTCAGGTTGTAGTTTCTTTATAATATAATATATTTCTTGTTAATATATTCCTATTTTCGGTGAAAACAATCAATGACTAGGCCTAAGATACATCAAATTTAAAATCGCGTTGTATGGGGCTACTATCTACTACGTTGTCGTACAGTACGTGAGATTTCACACACACATGCTTATATCAAAGATACTAGAAATACAAGATAGAGTTCTCCACACAAAAAAAGTGTTCCACCGAAATGCATGGTGTTCATTAGTGGAAAAGGAAGGGCGCCTTTTGCGTCTGGATATACTTAGCAACAGAAGGGCGCCCTGTACGTTGGGCACGAAGTATAGGAAACTGCATGGTTAAAAAGAAGGGCGCCGCCTACGTTGGGCACGACTTCCGCCTCAATTTTACAATGCGAGAACTCTATCTTGTATTTCTAGTATCTTTGCTTATATGTAGGTTCGTCTCATTGACCAATCAGGGATTCGCAAACGATTACACCCACCATTCAAGGGAGAAAAAAAAACGTAAACAAACGGTGATGAGATGTACTGCAAAGATCTTTGATGTGTAAGTCAGGCAGAGGGAGTTATAATAATAATAATAATTTTATTGGCTCTCTCTTTCAAAGAAGAGGAACACTCTCACGCAGGAGAGGTTCGAACATACAACAGAACAAAAGTTTAGTTTAGTTGTAGAAATTTCAATGGAGTTTGTCCACCAATATCATTAGTTTATAAATTTTCTCATTCCAGTCAGCAGCAGATTACAATATCTTTAAATTGATTGAGCTTGTGTCAATATACATAAATAATTAATGCTATAATAGTTTAAAAATCACATGATATTCAATCTTACAGAGCATTATTTATCACAATTTTTTTTTATTACAGCGAGACATATCAAAATAATTATCTTCATCCATATTTTCCTTTTCAGTTTGTGCAACTTTCATACATTGTTTTTTTTTAGTTTAGTTGTGTTAATATTTATATAATTAATGTATTAGTATTTTTTAAATTTACCAGATTTTACCTGTATTTAATGTTATTTAGGTGTAATAAAAGTTATCTTCTATCTTCTTTGCTGTACTATACCGGTACATAAACATAAATGTACTGGTATCAAATTAATAAGCAAGTCTTGGAAGCTGACCAAATAGTAACCTCAGGGCAAAAAAATCAAATATTTCAAATTTATTATTTAAGCTTGAAAAGTGGCATGCTGAAAAACATCATGCACATGTTTTGTGCTCCTTAATTAAAAACAGCCGACATTTTAAGCTTTTAGGTCAGTCGGGCTTGGGCAATGCAAAGGTGTTTTTTTTCTTAAGGCCAAGTTAAACCAGACCTCTGCGAGGCCCAAGGTTCCTGAAATATTGTAGTACTGTATTTGCGATGACCAGGGTGACCAACAAACGAAACCAGGGAGACCTCAAGTGTTAACCCGGCAGTTTCTTTTTTATTGTTAAGCACATCGAGGCTTTAGCATAAGGCGCTATTTAAGCCAAAATTATTATAATAATTATTTCTATTTTTAATTATTATTATTTTATTATTAATCCTGGCATCAGGTTTTCTTTGTTCTGCTTGTTTAGTGCCAATATGATAAAAAGGTGTAGGCTAGTAGCTGTGGGGGCTGTAGAATATATTTTCTGGTTTGATGGGGGGGGCGCCCCCTACATTAACTATGGGTCGGAGCCAACAATGGTTTCACTATACCGTACTGTACAAGCTGCAAAAGGATTATCCTGTCAAGTATCAAGTTTGTTTTTATCAAACCACAACACAATTCTATGCTGTATCTGTAGAACCTATAAATCCAAACCACAGTATTGAAGGTTTTTGGAGTGTAAAGTTTTCTGTCCATACTACCCAGGAAAGTCCCTAAAGCCAAATCAATCACATTTAAGACAGTTAGTTGGACAACGAAGATAAACAACATTCCATAAATGTTTTCGTTTTATCATAGAGTTAATACTAGTCTTTTCAAGGGTAGGGGGTATTGTCTTTCATTAGTTATGGCTTTAATATTTGTCAAAATAGAAAATTATTAAATAGGGCAGGACGTCATATCCAGTTTTGCTTTGGTACGGACGTTCATAACAAACAGATATCTGGAAAGTCACTTTTGCCTGTTTACAAAAAAACAGCGTAACATATATGTCACATATATGTTACGCTGTTTTTTTGTAACATATATGTCACATATATGTGACATATATGTTACGCTGTTTTTTTGTAAACAGCGTAACATATATGTCACATACTGTACATACACACGAAGGGTATCCTAAAGGTTCCTTTGCTTGAAAGCAGGAACCAAAGATTGGTGAGGCAGAGAAAATTGATGCACAAGAGGATGAGAAACTAGTAATTTATTTTATTTGGCCTAATCTTGAGCAAATGATTACCAGTTGTATAAATAATAGCAATATTAATTTTTACAGAATTTTAAATTGGCTGGTAAGTTTCATGGCATAGGCTGGTTTCAGCCTGAAGGTGGGGGTGGGGGAGGGTAGTGCAAAAAATGAGAATACGAAACTAAACCCCAGAATGCGGAATTAATCTCCCTGCTCCAATGAAAAACTTATGGTCATTTTTAGTATTTTAACCCACTTAGTGAAACTAATTTGCTACTATGAGGGGTGGGGGATGCACACCCCTACCCTCAGGCCTATTGATATTTGTAGAGATGTCCGTAAATAAGCTAATCTGTCTCATTGGAAGTTGAAATGTGCAATTTAAAGCTATAACATAATTTATAAGAGTTTTTCTAGATTTCACCAAAGAAGAAGTAAGAATTTGCATAAAAACAAAGGCTTCAGTATTTTCAGATTATTTTTTATTCATTTGGTCCCAGTCAAAGATTGTCACCAACGATATTTTGTATGAATAACGCATATAATTGTCATATACATTTATATAAATATATATATCATCTATTATATCACAGTCATTAACAAAATAAATTAAACAAACAGTCCATGTACATCATATATACAGTACGCCAAAATAACTATTTTCAATTAATACAAAATTACAAATTTAGTTTGACAATAAATTAGAAATGATTTGATAAATTTATTATATTGAGCAAAGTGTATTTTCTCCATTAGCATTCAAATCTGAGGAGCCCTAAGTAAGTTTCAACAATAGCAGAGCACCCATACTAGGGAAGCACAGCTATCATAGACAAGGGAATAGGCTGGTTTTGGCTTGGGGGAGGGGGAAGAATGAGAATGCGGAAATAATTCCCAGAATGTAGTATTTTAACCCGGCTTAGTGGAGCTAATTTGCTGGGGTTGGGGGCTGTCTCTTATACACATCTAGATGTGTATAAGAGACAGCAATTAAAGTATAATCATGAATCAGTAAAGAATAAAACAACAATACAGCGCAGAATCGCATGGCCGGACGCGATTATTTTTTCCGTACGAAACATTTACATGAAACTCCACTCGGGCCGTCTCGGCTGAATCGACCCGAAAATCTCATTGCAGAATTCAGGAGGTCAAAAGGTCATCAACAGATAAACGTGGCCCAGCCCAATAATCTCCGCTCACCAATATTGATCATGAAGGTACGATAGATCAATGAACTTTGAAAGTAAAACAATAATCAATTTGATAGCATCAATGCTGTCTCTTATACACATCTAGATGTGTATAAGAGACAGCACGAAGGGTATCCTAAAGGTTCCTTTGCTTGAAAGCAGGAACCAAAGATTGGTGAGGCAGAGAAAATTGATGCACAAGAGGATGAGAAACTAGTAATTTATTTTATTTGGCCTAATCTTGAGCAAATGATTACCAGTTGTATAAATAATAGCAATATTAATTTTTACAGAATTTTAAATTGGCTGGTAAGTTTCATGGCATAGGCTGGTTTCAGCCTGAAGGTGGGGGTGGGGGAGGGTAGTGCAAAAAATGAGAATACGAAACTAAACCCCAGAATGCGGAATTAATCTCCCTGCTCCAATGAAAAACTTATGGTCATTTTTAGTATTTTAACCCACTTAGTGAAACTAATTTGCTACTATGAGGGGTGGGGGATGCACACCCCTACCCTCAGGCCAATTGATATTTGTAGAGACGTCCGTAAATAAGCTAATCTGTCTCATTGGAAGTTGAAATGTGCAATTTAAAGCTATAACATAATTTATAAGAGTTTTTCTAGATTTCACAAAGAAGAAGTAAGAATTTGCATAAAAACAAAGGCTTCAGTATTTTCAGATTATTTTTTATTCATTTGGTCCCAGTCAAAGATTGTCACCAACAATATTTTGTATATAACGCATATAATTGTCATATAAATATATATATCATCTGTTATATCACAGTCATTAACAAAATAAATTAAACAAACAGTCCATGTACATCATATATACAGTACACCAAAATAACTATTTTCAATTAATACAAAATTACAAATTTAGTTTGACAATAAATTAGAAATAATTTGATAAATTTATTATATTGAGCAGAGTGTATTTTCTCCATTAGCATTCAAATCTGAGGAGCCCTAAATAAGTTTCAACAATAGCAGAGCACCCATACTAGGGAAGCACAGCTATCATAGACAAGGGAATAGGCTGGTTTTGGCTTGGGGGAGGGGGAAGAATGAGAATGCGGAAATAATTCCCAGAATGTAGTATTTTAACCCGGCTTAGTGGAGCTAATTTGCTGGGGTTGGGGGAGGGGTGTATCCCATCCCCAGCTTACACCCATGATAGAATCTCTACAGCAATGGATTCTTCATAACTGTGGATGAAAAGATGTGATTTCAGTACTGATCCGTTGACGCCGGGGGTAATATACATACAAAGCCATAGCAATCAACATTACAACCAACGCCACCAGAACACCAATTGTTAGACCTAAAAAAGAAAACATCGAATATAAAAAGAAATTCGTAAGAGCTCAGACTCCAGGGGGCCAACTAAGCTATGTCCACACTACCAAATTTTATGTGACAAATTTGTGTTATGTGCCCATATATGGGCATGATGATGTCATATTTTACCCAAATATGGGCATGTCACACACAATTTGCTAGTGTGGACGGAGCCTTAAAACAAAATTGAGAAATGGTCACAGATTCAAGTTCTATTGATCAGGAATATAAAAATTAACTTAATCATTAACTGTGATCATGTATACTGTAGTTCCTCGGGTGTAAGCCCATCCCCTACCTTACGCCGAACTTTACATACCAGCCTCAGGGGCGGGTCCAGAGAGGTCCAGAGATGTCCAAAAGGGGGGGGGGCCGAAATTTGGGCCGATCGAGACAACAATGTCCTATGGGTTCCGGGGGCATGCCCCCGCGAAATTTTTGTGTTCTGGACGCCCGAAAATAACATTTGAGGCGTTGTGGGCTATCATTTTTTTCTTTTTTTCTTTTTTTAACTCACTCCCAAAAGGGGGGGGGGGGCAGGCCGGGGCCCCCTTCCCCTAAATCCACCCCTGAGCCTTTCCTCGAGCAAAAGCCCAGGGTATGATTTAAATGAGTAACATTTAACAATAATAATACTTAAACATTTATAAGGTGCCAATTCCAAGGATGATCAAAGGCGCGAGCGTTATTACCCCTGGTCACTGGATAACGTACAATGGCAAACCAGCACAAAGGGAAACTTCCTCTACTCCCTTGGAAGTATCCCTAGTCGTTTGCTACTTCTTTAGCGCATGAAACTATGAACATTTAATGCCACAACATCCTACCAGGTACCCATTTATACTTCTGGGTAGAGAGAGGCAAAAAAACTGCCCACCCCCAAAATCGGCCCAATTTTGTGTTCAAGGGGGGTGGGTGGCCACCAGAGGAATTAAAATAAAGATGTGTCAGTATCAATGTAAACATAAAAAATAGGGTAGTACTGATTTACAAACTCATGTTTTGGATAATTAAGCACAGTACCTAATTTTTGGTTCTTGAGCACATCAATTGGACTAGACCCATTTTCCATCATTTCCAGTCCATAACATTTGCAAAGAATAAAAGAAAACTGCAATACCACAAACACCAACATTTTCCAGTGTATTTTATTGTAACCCTGAAAAGGAAAAATATTATGATTATTCTTACTTGGTGTACATGTAATAGGCTAATAAGGAAAATTCAGAGATTCTGGACTACACAGAAAAATAATGGTGGCCTGTATCGAAAACACAATTAAATAATTTGCCCTTCAATTCCAGACCACCTTTGGGAACTTAATGGTGGTCTCGTGGTTTGGTCTTCATTAGCTTTGTGTGAAAATACTTAATTGTTATTTGGGTCTTTGAATAAGTACCGTAGTCATTAGAGGAGTCTTGGAATTAGAGGGGTCTCGGGTTAGAGGGGTCACTGATAGTGAATCAGAGGAGGGTGTCTGTTCAAGAATGTCAAATCTATCTAGACTGTTTCATTTTTAGAAGTAAATTCGAGGACCACCTCATATAGCTAAGTTGGCAGAGTATCCAAATGGTATTCCTATTTAAAAGGTCTTGCCCAGAAAACACAAAACCTTATTATAATGTTCACGAACGTTTAGAACTTTCTGGTTAGATTATGTCAGAAAATAACATTGCAGCAAACATATTTGACCTATTTTATTTTTATAAGGATTTTTCTTTCTACAAAAACGTTTAAAATACCAAACTGTAAAAATCATGGAATAATGTCATAGATAGGCCTATGTAATTTAGACAAAAAGTTTTTCACAAAAATAAAATATTGTATTAATATATTTTCTAGCAGCATATAGGGTAGGCCCACGAGCCAGGGCTGCCATCCAAGACGGCAGCTTCGCTATTGAAGTTCTACTATATTTACACCTAGCTTAGGCCCAGCCCAATAATCTCCGCTCACCAATATTGATCATGAAGGTACGATAGATCAATGAACTTTGAAAGTAAAACAATAATCAATTTGATAGCATCAATGTGAATAAATTTCATGTGGTTCCAACATATATACAAGCCTTGAACTACACCACACCAGACTTCGAACTTCACCCTTCACCAAGGAAGTTTTAATTAAGTTCAGTCTTAGTGGCAAGTGCGCCTCCTACGTTCAGTACACGCTCGAGTTTTCTCACGCTCGACTCTCGACCTATGTAAGCTCTCGCGTTGACTTTTAAACACGTGTATTTTATGTAGTTCTGGTTGACGAAGGTAGTTGTAGTTGTGAATCCCGTAGTGAATGTATTAATAATTTGGAGAAAAACATGGGGAAAGAAAAGAAAAAGGTATATCTCTTTTGCTATCTAAAAACTCATTAATCAGTATGTGTTAAAAAGCAGAGTTAATATATATAGATAGGCCTATATTGACACGATAATGTAAAGAAGCTAGGCCTAGGCCCTACTAGGCAAGGACGCTCGGTAAAACAGAAGGTCCAGATGGCCTTGCCATCGAGTTAAAATCACCACCTGGTGGTCTTAGCTAGGCCTGGACTACTAGTCAAATGAACATGCGCTTAAGTACAAATAGGTCAAAAACATCGTCCAGTTTACTTAATTAAAAAAGATTAGACGAATTAAAATAACTCATTCAATAACATAAAAGCCCATAACTAAACTAGCCTAGGCCTATATATTTTATTTTAAATTTATTTTACAACCCCCTCCCCCCCCCCCAAGAGACAGGGTCCTTGATGTACAGTAATCACAAATGAATACCGTAAAAACCTTGAATTGAAGCCCAGTGGGCTTAATCTCGAGATAAAGCCCATCTCAAATTGAAGCACCTCTCTTTAGTTAGCAAAAATAGCCTCAAAAAGGAGCCCATTTCGATATCATAGGCTTCTTTTTGAAATAGTACAATGCAAACACTGTACATGAATTTCAGAAAACAAAATAAATTAAAAACAAGCTTGGTTTATACAGTAGTTTAGGTGATTCAATGCCATTTAAATACAATTCATGATACAAGATTGATGTTACATTGGCCTTACAGTATTTATTGTTTTATAGTACAAATTCACCCAGCCCTCCAGAATCTGAATGCCCTTGTGTTGATCCTTGATATACAGCATGGAGGTATTATTGAGAAGGAGATCACTCGGCAACAGATCCCTTTGACGCGACAAACCTATGTGTTCCCCGCTTTTGGATCGCGCGCGGGCGTATTACCCTATAATTCACATTTTTTTAGTTAGCAACAACTTGGCAACGACATGCATTTATAC